CCTCCCGCGCTAGCCTAAGGGCCACCTTAGCAAAGCGCATCCCAGGCTGCATAGCCGCACTACCCTACCCAACCATACCACACATAAACATGACACTACCCCCGGGGTTTACACAGACGAGCCGGCGAAGCAAGAAGAGCGCCAGAAGAAAGGGCCCTAGCCGGCGGGGCCCAGCCAGGACAAAAGGAGGTCCCACAAAGCGCCTACACCGGCCGCATTTGCGGTCGGGGTAGACGACGGATGGGGCCCACCTACGAAGGCTGTCCAGGCCTACACGAGATAAGGCAGGATAAAGAGGGATAATCCCCCTCGATCCCAAATCATTGAGGCCAATTTCTAGCCATGGAATAATGGCGCGTTAGAGTTACAATGTACAAGTCTTCTTCTTTAAAATTGAGTACTTGCATTTATCTACGCTTAATTCAAATGCGGCAATACGGCATTTTAACAACAATTTAATTTTGTTACGTCTAGCATCGATAGGCTGCAATGCTGAATGAAATTATGACTGAATAAAATAAGGTGTGTTTATTTATATGTATTTTCAGTTATAATTAGGTCAACCTTATTATTTTTACAACTTTCCATTTTGTTTTATAAATTTATATTTTTTATCAAATGCGTAAAAATTTTGAAGATAATAATAATGATAAATAATAAATTATTATTATTATACATCACTTATTCCTTGATTGCCATACACATAGGCTATTCTATGCTCTTTTAAAACTGATGTAAACAATAAACCACAGTAATGAGAGTGCTCTGAAAACAACAGTAATACCGGATAAATAGGCATTTGTCAAATCAAATGGGTTGAAATTACCTGCAGAGAAGGGCACAAAAAACTCAAGATACTTTTTAATAAACACACCACAGTAGTCGTTTAAATATAACTATTTCCATAGGCGTAGCTAGAGGGAAGCAGGGGTGTGCGCACGGCCTACCCCAGAAAAAAAGATCTAATATTATCGTCTATTACATCGGCACATAATTATGAATTTTGACGTCTTTTGATAAAATGCTCCATTTTCAAGAAAAACGGATTTAAGTACTTAGAAAAGCACACATTGGAAAGTACATAAACATATTTAAACCGATTTTTCTCAAAAACGGATTACTTTTTCAATAGAAAACATTACCATTTTTAATAGAAAACTGAGATCTATCAAATTTTAATGTTTAAATTTCAAAATAGCAACATGTAAAAAATTTGGGGCAAATTTTACTCAAACCCCCACCCCTGATTTTAAATTTCGACAAGCAAAAAAAAATTGGGGTAAATTTTAGCCGACGACGCCTCTGACTACAATTTTTGAAAAATATTATGATTTTATGATCTATTTCGACTTTTAATGAGCGTTCACGATGTCAAAATTCGTAATTTTCTTTCAACCCATTTAGGAAATATTTAAAAAAAATGTATTAATTATTCTTAATTTTAGCAATATCACCAAGTGATAAATTATTGGACACTAATTATGAGGCACCCTGTATATATACGTACACAGGGTGCCAATTAAGTATCTACAATGAATTCAACAGACGATTATGTGGGTGATTTTAAGACAAAAGGTTCATATAAACATTTACATGAATCACCCCGTATACTATGTTCTCGACCTGCAACTGGCTTAACGAGGACTTTGGAATCATCCCAATCAGCGCAAAAGTAGAATCTCTTTATTAAACAATTCGGTATAATAATATTTCAATAAATAAGATATGAATAACATTTTACAATATAAAAATTTTTGGTTGGAAGTGCACTTCACTGTTCGACCTCGTATATCTTCTTTCTAAACGTTAAAATGTTCTTGTACACAGTTGGCATGTCCAAGTGGTCGATTGTGGTGTACAACTGACAAGCGTTGGTGAATTTAAGCTTGTGCCAGATCTGTTTTCTGGCCGCGTTTCGAGTCAATTCGATCAACGAAGGCACTCTCTGCAATTTACTCAAAATCGTGCTCATTTGCTCGTCATCGCTATATTCGACTGTTAGAGCGTCGATTAACCGAGGACAAATAGAATACTCTAACAACCGCATCACATTTTTCTTAGGAATATAACTTATTTCACAGGCATCACTCTCTAAATTATAGTCTACATCAAATATTAATCTAGAGACGACCATCCCATGGTGCCAATGACACGTAAAGTCGTTGTCCATATACAACAGTATTCTGAACAATTCACAATATCCGTAATGAGAGAAGATCATGTGAATTTCGCGACTAGTGGCACGAAATCCATACTGTAGCAAGCGACACGTAAGAGCTGTCAGTTGTTCAAGATCTAATCGGTACGCAGCAAAACTATTGACAAACGACGCATAACATGTGTCGTTGCAGAAAAACTCTACGGCATATTCGAAATTATCACTTTCGATTATAACTTCGAGAAACGACGGCACTGAATCAATATAATCGAAAAAATCAAGCAGATCGGTCATATTGTCAGCATCGAAACGTAGTCCCTCCCATACCATTTTAAACGTCGAAGGGTCTACATGGTTCTGCAAACAGTCCAAAAACGCGCAGATCTTCTTTCCATCTACGTCATAATCCCCATAATTCACATCAGTGCCTCGTTGTATCATATCTTTTATAAACGGTGACTTAGATTCCAATGCAAGAGTCATAGTGGGTGTGTACGTATAGGGATAGATGCCAATCCTGTTGAAGTCGTCTACGTACTCCAACAGAGCCTCTTGGGCAGCAACATTGCCATAGAACAGGGCTACCATGAAGGGAGTAAAGCGGCAATTGTCGGGAACGTTGGCGTCAGCGTTGTAATATAGCAGCATGTGCACTATTTCCAGAGACACGGGGTCTACCACTTGATGTAGTAACGTGCCACCGTTTCTGTTAATAGCATCGATTCGAGCACCGTGTCGTATAAGGAGATGGCAGATGTCCGGACGCCGCATCGACATGTGCAAAGGAAAGTAGTTACTGTCGCAGATGTTTACGTCGGCACCAGCTCGGATCAATTTCTCTACTGATTCCATATGACCCAACGAGGTTGCTAGGAAAAGAGGCGTTTTGCCTTCAGAACACCTGGCATCCACTTCTATGCCTTCCCTGGACAGCAAGTAATCTAATATTTCCAGTCTGGAAAAGTATATGTCGGATGAAAACTTTACTATAGCGTAAAATGACCATATCGTAACAGAATTTTTCCTACCAACTTATTTTTGAGGCTGTTTGAAACGAATTTCAAATTATATTTTATGCGATCAAACCCAGTTTCTAAAAAAAAATAACAAGATTAATTTATTTATTATTTATTTAAATACACATCCAACAGGCGATGCCCAATAATAGGATATGTTAAGTCTAGTAATAAAATATAAAAAAGGTAAAAGAGAGAAAAATTAACTATGAAAAAATAGAGAGAAAAAAATAGTACAAACCTACAAATAACACAGATATAAAGAACAAAATAAAAGGCAAACAAACTATAAAAGGCAGATATGACTACATAAGTAAAGCATTTTTTATATCATTAAGCATACAACAAAAAACATCGACATTATTTTCTGTCTTACTGTACTTCGAAACAATTTGATACAATGGTGATGCTACTAGGATGTTACTACGTGCTGTGGGTATACTAAAAACATTATTACTTCTAGCTGATAGACGCGGTACTTTGATATCAATATTACTTAAAACACCTGGACAGTCCAAAATGTTATGTAGAACTTTATACAAAAACATTACTTGAAAAATAGATCTTCTTTTAGCAAGGACATGAATATTGAAAGCTTAATAGATCATGCGGAAAACCCTGAGGGGGATATGTACCATCCAATAAGTACACAGCTGATTTCATAAACCTACGCTGTACTCTTTCCAAAGTTGCAATTTGATTAGCATAAATTGGGGTCCAGACTATTGATGCATATTCTAATTTAGAACGAATAAAGGTAGTGTAGAGCAATCGTAGTGTAGAAATACTGATAAAGCCCTTGGAATTCCTTATTATGAACCCCATATTCTTGAAAGCAGATGACGCAATTATGTCTGTATGTTTTGTAAAAGATAATGTAGGGTCAAATGTAACTCCTAGGTCTTTTATGTAATCGGGTCTATGCAATATTATATTATCCAATTTATAATCGAATAGTACAGAATTTTTTATTTTTTTTTTGGTGAATGTAATGATATTACACTTGGAGACATTTAGCGTTAAATTATTATTTAGACACCACAAACTAATGACATTAACCGCATCCTGTAACATATAGCAGTCAGCAATGGTGTTTATTTCGCAAAATAGCTTAAGGTCATCTGCATACATTAAATGGTGTACTAGTAACGGTGGATCTGCCCTTAATAAAACCGTGCTGCTCCCACGCCAACAGCCCGGACAAGGATCTGTATCAAAAGTCATGTAATAAAATCTCAAATATATTGGAGAAATTGCAAATAATAGAAATTGGCCTGTAATTAACCAATTCATTCTTATTGCCCTTCTTGTGCACTGGACACACTCTATATAGTTTCCAACATTCAGAATAACAAGTTTTTATTAATAAATTAAAAATAGTTGTTAATGGGGCAGCAAACGCAGAGGCACAGTCGCGTATAAAAAATGCCGGGATTAAATCAGGCCCGGTTGTCATTTTTGGCTTAATTTGTTTTATCGCAGCGTAGACTTCATCTTGTGAAAAGTTTAATATATTTAGCACATTAGCGTTTGATGTAGATGCTCGACAATGATTTTTACCCGGTTTTATATACGACTGTGAGAAAAAATCAGCAAAACTATTAACTATACTCTGTGGATCATCAATAGTTTGGTCATTATACGTAAGCATGGAAGGAATTTGAGCTACATTTCTCTTAACGTTGATAAAGGACCAAAAACTTTTTGGATTAATTTGTATATTGCTTTCAACATGTTGTACGTATAACTTATAGGAGATGCTTATTTCATGTTTTATTTGGGACCTCAGATATTTAAACTTGTTTTAGAAAGTAGTATTTCCAGTATTCCTATATTTTTTAAGAGCATTACTTTTTTGTTTAATATTGGTGGGTAGACCTTTGAACAAATTTTTTTCCTTGGAATACAGTGCTCAAAAATGTTATTCAGTTTGTCATAAAAAGCGTCTAATGCATAATTTGGATTGGTGTATTTATTAAGGAAAGACCAGTTAGTATTGAAAATAATATCGTACAAAACAGGAAATTCATGTTCAGCACCCTCGAAAATAGAGGGTAGGAAAAATTTTGTGACGATTCGTGCACTTTACACTAAATAAATAATTACCAAATTTTGTTTTTCAAGCAACTCACCGGTTTTTTAAAACGGCCATGTGTAGGAGGGAGAAGTTGCGTTGGGTTTCCTTCTTATTTACAGATTCTCCCGATTCTATCCGACGTCTAACGTTACGGAAATCTCCTTGAAGCACCTCTCTGTGAACACCCTAAAATCGTTTAAAAAATACTGTAGAAAACCACATTTCTTACGAATATACATGATCTACCTCAGACGAAAAAAATTCCTCGTCCGAATCACCAACCGAATCCATTTTTAATTCAATATCCTCCTAGTCTAGAAGTTCTCATTTACGTGCATTGCAAAATCAAAAGGCAAATAAATGCATAGTTTTCTCTGTGGGCAAATACAGCACTAATTAGTTATCTAAGATAACAGATAACTTATATTTTGTTTTTTATTTAAGAACCATTTGCGTTAGGTTAGAAGTGTTGGAACGTACAAGCCTTCTTCTTCTTCTTTATAACTTCAATGCTTGCTCTTATTTACGCTTTATTCGGAGGTGGCAATGCGGTATTTTAATTTAACAATCAGATTCTTCTTAAATTTAAATTGTTTATGGTTTAATTTTGTTGCATTTGTTTTGTTTGTTTTAGATTAACTTGATACATCTTGCATCGATAGGCTACAGAAGTGTCGTAATAAAAAAAAATAGTTGAAACATATCGTATTTTGTTTAGAATTCGATAACTTTTTAATATTATCTGTTTTAACTTTCCTAAATGCGTCCCTTTCTACTTGTCAGAGGTACGAGGTAATTAAAAATGAGATTTACAATAATATCTTGTGTCACATTAGTAGCTCGGGGATATTAGCAACTGATAGCTAAGGGCTACTAATGCGTTTTTATATATAATATTTTTAATTGTGCGGAAAATATTACTGGACTACCAAGTAAAGGGGCAAAAGTTGGGACCAATTAGAAATATTTTTGGAATATATTTTCCTTTAATTTTTTTGCTTTAATAGATTCCTCAAAATTTCCCAAATATGCAAACAAATTTCCCGAAAAATCGTTTGAATGTTTATTACAAATGTATCCAAATGTTCGTTAAAATAGACAGGTTGAAAAACGAACTTAATATTTTGTACAGAGACGAACAATTTCGAAAAACGATAAAAAATAAATAAATAATATAAACATATAATAAAATAAATATTACTTTTATGGTGACTTCTAGTTCACAATTAATATGGGTTAAAGATGTGCGAAAACATGAAATCTGTTCTATTTATTAACTTCTGAGAACTATGATTTCAGTGCCTGAGAGTGAAGCAGAAATTTATTGTGCCTTTTATAGTCTCTCGTGTTACTTGTTTTTCATTTTGGTATTCCATATGTGCAATTTTTATTCGACAGATTATAAACTATATTAAACAAATGTCCCATCTTTAATATCTTCAACGAACATTGTCCTTAGGTAGTGCAGAGATAGAAGCAAATTGTATTAATAGAATCCTGTAGCAGAATTCATTTATTATAACGAGCGTTCAAATAAAGTGTCAGGGCCAACTTCAACGTTGTCTTTATTTGAACGCTCGTTATCAGTTAATAACAGAGGTAATGTAGTATAACAACCCTAGGTTCGACAAAAAATAAGTAAACGTAGTTGTGGCCAAAAATATGTGATCGTCATAAGGACTACCTACGTTATGTGTATCTATTTTTTTATTGACCGGAAGGCACTGGCTACTAACTTTGTGGAGGGGATGTATGGTTTAATTATATAAAACAAAAGCAGAGTAAATACACCTAACCTTTATTTACATACAAT